ATCAGCATTCATCATATTGTTTCTTGAGATCATCATGTTGATGTTTAACTTTCAAAATCCTTGAATCCCATAATGGTAGTTGTTTCTCGTTGTCATGGTTGTTGTTCTGATGGTCAAAAGCTACATCTTGTGACGAGGCATATTTTTCAGGTCCTAGTGGTTAGTTGTTTTTGTAGTTGGCATGTAGGGTTTGACTTTTCATTTTATAAAACTATTGTTGTTCTAAAAAAACCCTTAAAGAATCATTCAACTATACCAGGATAGATGCTTGTGCTTTTCGTTATCTAAAATCCCTTTGCTAATAATTTTAGGCCACTGCAATAAATGGTAGAAATCTCAAAATAGTAAAATATATTCAATTATATGATGAAAAACTTAAAAATAATCCAAATTTTTATGAATTATGATCCATAACTTAGAATGATATAAGACTTATTATTTTTTGTGTTTTCTAGGATTTCAAGTGGAAAATAGATCTTTTGTTTAAAAAATAACGATGTGTGTTATTTCAGATGAGGCACATGGAGTGGAGCATATAACGTTGATGTTGATATAGAACGCGAGTCTGATTGTCAAGACGTATAATTAACTAAGATAAGGAAGAAAGATGTTTCTAAGATGATGTTATCTAATTTTAATTTCTGCAAATCTACATTTGTGAAAACTTTGAAGGATTATGATAATTTGACAAGCTACAAACCGAAAATGATTTATGGTGAAGCACATTTGCATGAAGTTCTAGTTAAGGTACAAAGAAATAGACTTATGTGATTTTTGTTCTATTATGAACTTGGTTAATAAACATTTTTTATTTCAATATCTTCATTACTTTTTTGTTGTTAATTTCCTTTTTTTTATTGTTTGCATGTTAAGTGGTTAAGAAAAAATTATACTTGGATACACTTATCTAGTTTTTGTGAACTTGGCTAAGGTATATTTTTTTATTTTTAGTAATGTATTTTTCTAATATGAAACATAGTAGTTGTACAAAATATACTTTATAATTAATGTCATATTTTTATGTTATGGATCACATATTTTGGATCTTGTTCTTATGGATCGTCTGAATTGTTGATCATGTTAACTAGGTTGAAAAATTGGTCATTAATAACATACCGGTCCATTTTAAGAAAATAGTCATGATCTAAAAGTTCATTGGTTCCTATTATCTTTCTGGGATCAAAAAAATCTTTATGGATCACTTATCTTGATCATGGTTTTGTGAATCATGTCATGATCCAAAACATTATTTGTAGGATATGATCTAAATATGATATGATCGATAACTTAAAAAGATGACATGAATCATACTTGCTTGATCCAAAACATATTTTTATGGGGGATTGTCCTTTCAAATGTTTCAAACTATAAAATTAAGATGATCCATAAGAAAAATATTCAGACATTTTTGATCTAATGTTACAAAAAATATGATAAAAATAAATAATTATTGTGATTCAACATGATATGATACAAAGTTGTTGTGATTCAAAACATTACAATGCTATAGTTTTAAATCTTCAAATATGTGATGATCTAAAACTCGATAATGATCCAATTCAAATAGCTTATGCTCTAAAAAATATCATCCAATAGTTCTATAATCGCAACGTTTTATGATCCGATGCTACAAATGATGTGATAAATAAATAAATTATTTTATCTAATCCCAAACAATATAATAAATCAATTATCTGACTCAAAATTATTATGATTCAAAAATATTATGATCCAAAACTACAATGTTGCAATTCCAACAATAATATGCTTCAAACATGTGATAAACTAAGAAACTTTGGGTCAAAAAAACATTATGGATCACTTATCTTGATCATGATTTTCTGAATCACGTCATGATCCAAAAAATTAATTTTAAGATATCATGTAAATGTGATATGATCCATGACTTAAAATGATGACATGAATCATACTTGTTTGATCCAAAACATTTTTTATAGGGATTGTCCTTTCAAATGTTCAAAACTATGACATTTAAATTATCCATAAGAATAATATTCAAACATTTGTAATCCAATTTTACAAATAAAATAAATCATTATTATGATCCAACCTTCTATGATACAAAATTTTTATGATCCAAAACATTACAATGCTTCGGTTTTAAATCTACAAATATATGATGATCTTAAACTCTATAATGATCCAATTTGAACAGTTTATGCTCCAAGAAAATTATCGTCCAAACATTTTATGATCCAATTCTACAAATGAGGTGATAAAAAAATAAATGATTTTATCTAATCTCAAACAATATAACAAATCAATTATGTGGTTCAAATATTTTATGATTCCTAGATATTATGCTCTAAAATTATACAATGTTGTAGTTCCAACAACAAAACGATTCAAACATGTGATAAGCTAAGAAACTTTTAACCATAAACATACCTAACCTAAGCTTGAAAAAAAAGTTGTCTTAAAACTCTGAGAAACCTTGCACTTATAATGTTATTTGATGAATATTATGCATCTTAAAAACCTTGTCAATGTTGGTGTCCCCACCAGTAATAGCATCCGACTTTAATCCATAATGACGATAAGAAGAGCAGCCTTGGAGCCAAAATTGCTATGAATTTTGGACATTTCATCACAATTAACCTGCCAAAAATAATATAAATTCATTTTTAATCCCTCATAGTATACAGTAGAAAACCAATATTAGGAACCGAGTTTATAGTAGATATTGAGATACTAAAGTCACCAATGATGGCAGATGCCAACAAGACGAACCCATGAAAAATCATATTCACTCGATCATGATTTATTACATTTGATCTTGAAAGAACCAACCATAGAACTAAAAGGAGGACACCACAAACAAAGATATACATACATCTAGAAGCCACCAAACATAAATTTTAGAACATAAGAGCATGACTACAGAGCATGTTCAATCATCAATCCATCAATAAGATCACAAATAACACTGTGAAACTTGTATATTTGCACGCCACTGAAAAAAACACACCCAAAAGAAACCCACTAAACACCAAATTGAATTGGGAAATATGAACACAACTATAAAAATTTTGAACCCTCTTATAGGACTTTATAAAAAAAATCTCAAAATAATGGGACTTTTCTGCATAAAACTCATTCTTAAAATGTCATAGATGATGATTTTTTTTAATCATGACAATGTTGAAGCAATGAATGATTGTGCTCAATAAATTATCAATTACAACACTAGCTTTCTTATTTTTGATGTATCATTGATTTTTTATGTATAAGAGATGATCACCTATGAATCATCTTCCATTGTTGAAAACTCACAACTGTTTTATGCAATTATTCAAGGAATAAAAGAAAGCCCTTGTTGAATTGTTAGTTCAAGCTCACATAGGAGTTTTGTGACATATACGGTGATTAGAATTTGGATAAGAAAGCCTTGAACAAGTAAAGTGGATGTTGACAAACATTCATTCTTGAGTTTATTTTGAATTGAATTTCGGTTTGTTTTTATTTGGATTTTGGTATGTATGCAAGTTATTACATTTTGTACGTTTATAACCATTTTAGCAATTTTCTTCGGATATTTATCAAACGATACATTTATCCGACACAAAAATAGAACAGAAATGTAATTTGGTCATTTTTAACAATCAGCACAACCATTCAGAGACATAATCAAAAACATGGTTTCAGTCAGAACTTTTGATTTGGTTAGACATATGACTCAATCAGATCTAACTCAATCAACAATTATTATGTTGTCCTTAAACTTGAGTATGATCCTCAACTCATATAAATTGATACTTTGAACCGAACTTACGATTTTAAATAAAGCACGAAAAAAAATCATATCCACATAACATGTAAACCTAAATACCAACATTATGACAATTTTAAATTTAGATTGAACTTATGATTTTGAGTAAAGCATATATATCAAATTTGTAATTTACTCTTTATTTTTATTTTAGAAGGGTCTTCTTAGGCCCTCTAGAGTACCGACAACGAGCCATCGTTGTTGTGCAGGTGGCACCTACCCCGATGTTATGTGGTGAGGATGATCAACGACAACGGTCAACAACCTTCTTCTCTCTTAGTTTTTTTCTTTTCTTTCTTATTTTTTTCTCTTCTTCAACGTGGACGTGGAGGATACTAAGGTGGTTTGTGGTGGCCGGCCTAAAAGCTCTCTATGACAATTGACATGGAGACAGGAGAGAGGCCTTAGACCATTCCCATTCGCAACCAAATGCTTGGTTGGTTGCCATATTTGAATTAAAAAAAAAAGATCCTTTAAAACCCACGACTAGGTTGCTCCACCAACACTTCAGTTGCCATTTTCATTTCCTTTTCTTTATTTATTTGCTATAACTCTTTTGCACTTTCAATATTAGTATTTTGTAATTAATTTTATTTTATTTTTATTAAAAAAAATAAACAAAACACATTAAAATAAGTAAAATAATTTTGTCTATAAATAAAGACGAATATTGATATATTTTAAGAATTATTTATTTAATTTTTTTTATATTATCTATATAATCTTAAAAATAAAATAGTAGAAAAAAATGGGTTGTAAATTGAAAAAGGTATAATATTTAGATTGTATAATATAATAAAAATTAATTATAAATAGTATAAAAGTTTGGTTTGGATTGGGTTGCTAATGGGTGTGAAAAATTGGTTTAGTTAGATTGTATAGATGGAAGAAAGAGAAATTATTCTTTAAGTTGGTTTAGTTAGATTGTATAGATGGAAGAAAGAGAAATTATTCTTTAAGTTGGTTTAGTTAGATTGTATAGATGGAAGACAGAGAAATTATTTTTTTAATTGATAGGTGGGTTGGTTTTGGTTAGTCTTAAACCTCGTTGTTCTGTCAAGATTTTAGGGTTTTTGACTTTCAAATTTAAGTTTGGTTATCGGATTTGGATCAACTCAAGAAGGCTATTATGCACTATGCTGACGTTTCAAGTCTGAACCATACAAAATCAACCTTCTATCCCTGTGCTACACCTTACTCTCTAGTCAGAATGTCTTTCTCCTCATCTTTCCGTCTGTTCTTCGCCAAATTCCCAACTTCTTCCCCAATTTTCAAATCCCTAATTCCTCCTACTTTCCTACTTTCACCACCGAAGAATCTTGTACCTATCAAAACGATAACAATCCAATCGATACCCACAAGACTATCTCCCGCGAATTCGACTTCACCGTCTTCATCGGACCAGAACACCCTCCAACCCATAGAAGAACTCCCCAAAAAGCTGCAAGAAATCGTCAATCTCTTCCAATCCGTACAGGATCCAAGAGCCAAATACGAGCAGTTATTATTCTATGGCAAAAAGCTTCAGCCCCTTGAAGACCAATTCAAGACTAACGAAAACAAGGTCATAGGTTGCGTTTCTCAGGTCTGGTTACGAGCCTATTTCGATTCCAGCAATAAAAATGTGATCTTTGAAGCTGATTCCGATTCCGTACTCACTAAGGGTTTAGCAGCTTTACTGGTTCAAGGTCTGTCTGGTCACCCAGTTCAAGAAATTTTAAGGGTTTCCCCCGATTTCATTGTTCATTTGGGTTTGCAACAGAGTTTGACACCTTCTAGAAACAATGGGTTTTTGAATATGTTGAAATTAATGCAAAAAAAGGCCTTGACTTTATATGTAGAAGCTGAGAAAGGGATTGAATCATCAACCCAGATTCAAACCCCCATCAAAGAACTGGAATCTGATTCAAAAATTGAGAAGCCTGTTGAGAATTCGAATATTGATGAATCAAAATCCGATGGTGATTCAAAAAGTGAGAACCCTAATGGTGTTTTGGGAAGTAGAGGACAGAGGATATCAGAGATTTTAAAGAGGGAGCTTAAACCGATCGAATTGGAGGTCAAAGATGTATCATATCAGCATGCTGGACATGCAGGTGTGAGGGGTAGTAATGGGGAGACACATTTTAATTTGAAAGTGGTTTCAAAGGAGTTCGAAGGGAAGAGTATGGTTAAGAGGCATCGACTTATATATTCTTTATTGGAAGAAGAGTTACAGAGTGGATTACATGCTTTATCGATCGAAGCCAAGACACCTAATTAAGATGGTATTGGTGAAGTGCATTCTTGAAATGAGGTTATACTTTTTGTTTTCCCTTTGAATTGATGTTCTTGCTATGAAACTCACACACCTTTTTGCACTAGATGTTTGAAATACATAATAACAATGTTCATTGCTGTAAGTGGGATCAAGAATTGCATTATGTTCGGTTTTGTAGTTTTGGATGTGAATAAATGTAGATATAATAATGAATCTTATCTAGAGGGTAGAGGGTGTTTGTTTTATCTTTTTAACCAACTTTTGGCCCCTATCTTTTCCAAAAAGTTAAAAATGAGGTAAAAGATGTTTGGTAATGGGAAAAGATCTTTTAAAACCAACTTTTGAGAAAGAAGGAAAAGAAGCATTTTGAAAGAAGGAAAAGAAGCATTTTGAAAAGTCAGGTATTCGTGTCTTTTTGTAACTTTTCAACACCTTACACTTACACCCGGTTCCCGAGTTGAACTTAACGAGAGAAAGGAAAGGAAATGGTGGAAATGAAAAGAAAATAAAAGAAATTGGTGTTACCCAGTTTCATTAAAGGAGGGAAGTGGAAGGAAGTAGAGAGAAATGGGAGGATCACTTTCCCTCCTAACTTTCCTTCCGATTTGGGAGGATTTGGAAAAAAAGAACAAAATGATTCATTTTCCTTCCACTTCTCTCCAACTCGGGAACACAAAAAAAAAAATTTGTTTTCCTTTCCTTTCTCTTCTTTTCTCTTCTCTCGTGACTTTCTTTTCTCTTCTCTTCTTTTCTTCTTTTCTTTTGTTAAACTCGGGAACGAGGCGTTAAGTTACTCAAAAGCTAATCCAAACACATTATTAAAAACATCTTTTGTAAAAAGTCCTTTTGCAAAAAGGACTTTTGAAGGCAAAAAGATATCCCAAACACCCCCCTTAAACCTATCAAATATGAAGAAAACTGAAAAATGATACAGTTCAACATGACATCTCATATGTCAATTATACGAGTTTAACTTTGGGAAAATGTTTCTAAATAGTAACAAGTTTGACAATTTTAAGGTTTAACTACTCAAATTTTTGTTTTTGTTCTATTTATGAGAAATCAAATTATTGTAACATGCTATGAAGGCTTATGATGATGACATGACAGTGGATGGCAACATATTTGAAATAAATAAAAATTAGCTTCAGTTTTGTTCTATCCAGAGTGTGTACTGTGAGTAGGACAACCATGCCTCATCGATTGTTGATAGTTCATGCGAGTAAACATGTTATAAAACTCGTGTTTAATTGCATTGGAATTATCACTGATTTCATATTGTCCTTGTTATTATCCAAGGCATCATTCACAAAAAAGAAAAAAGAATAAATATAATCCTTATTTTACAAATACATTTAGAGTTTATTCTAACAAAAATTGCAATTGAACTAGGACAAAAGTTGCCTTTGTGCCATAACTCAGGTTGGATTGACATCTTGATAGAAAACACATCTCCATCGATTTGTCGGCTAAGAACATGTCAAGGACATATATGGCTTGACTTTGAGACCCACCTTCTTGTCAACATCAATGATCTTCCCAACTTTCTTTGTAAAATGAACCCCATAATCAGCAGCATCACAAAGTTGGTTGATTGAGATCGGGTTATGCTTAAGGCCATTTACATACGATACTCGGGAGAACTTCACTGAGAGAGATCCATAACCTTCAGTCTTGCCTTTGTTATAGTCACCAAATGTTACTACTAGCCCATGTCATGTGTTGGGGCAGCTACTGTCTAAATACCATATATTCTATTGTCTTTGTGACACAATCAAAAAGAAGATTAAATACCTTTAGGAACCCAATTAGGAACGGGTTTGATTGAGACGGAAGGAGAATGTGAGAAAACATAATAACTTGCATTAGGTAAATAATTTAGAGAGTTTTCTTTCTGTCCATTTTTTTTATTAATTACTTTGACATTTTCAAGAGTCTATATCCTTGTTCATGTAGACAGTTAGCGTCTTAGCGGTCGGCCTGATGCAATCTTTCACCGCATTTATAAAACTTCTTTTGACGATTCAAGCTTATCAACGGTTGTTTGATATTGATCACCAATAATTTTATTCATTTGAACAGGGATTTTATCATTTATCAGCTTAGCAACTTTTATGTGAGAAAAAGTCCAGTTTTTTATGATTTTATTGATACTGTTTGAATCTTTAACCGCTTTATCCCTTTCATCTATGAGAATTTGATTTAGCAGTTTTTGATTTTGAAAATTAATGGTCATAGATGAAAGCTCGGCTACTTTGTCATTTAATTTTTTTCTTCATGGGATTTCTTTATATCAAGGCACAAATAATCAAAATTGTTCCTTCCATTATAAAAGTAGTTAACAAATTTACAAACTTGATACATAGATGAAGTATCTCAGTTAGAGGATGAGTTGTCTTTAGCATCCTTATCAGATTAGCTTTGAAAGTGCTTGAGATGCTGCCACTAGATTTTTCATCTTTCTCCATCAAACATATATCATTCGTCTCTCACTTTCTCATCATTAGATGAGTCCTCTTCAAACTCCCACTTTTTGTCTTCAGCTAGTAAACACCTTGGAACCCAAGTTTTGTCTCTTTAAAGAAGCAACAAGCATTTTGTTCTTCATCTCGTAAGATTCTTCTTTCTGGTCAGCCTTCCTGTTCTTGCAAACTCTAGCATAATGTCCAGCTTCTCCAAACTTGTGGCGTTTATAAGTAGCTAGTACTATGAACTTGTGTCACACCCCCGAACCAGACGGCGGAAACGTCCGGGGGCTTGCGCGTGACTTCATCTTGTAATATCATCACAATTGTATATAATTGAAACAAGACAACATCATCATGCATATCAAATACAACCAGCATTGTTTACATCAAGTACAATATCATAAATTACATGTTCAAATTATTTAATGTATGTTGATAACAAAAATATAACAAATTCCATCATTTTCTACTGACCTTTCTTCTTAACGATTCCCTGAGAATACGCATTATTTTAAAAAACGTCAACATATATAATGTTGGTGAGTTCATAAGCATATTTGAATGAAAATTTTTGAATGGTTTGTAAACACCAGAAAATTTGATATTTTCTGAAAATGGTTTGAACGTGATGTATCAAAATCAAATATTAATGCATGTGTGTTTTCTATATTTGGAATGTATAAAAATGTAATCTAGATAAAAACCCTGTATTTTCTATAGTACGTAAAAGATATTGTTTAACAGTTAATACCCCAGAAAATTCGATATTTTCTGTTTATAAAAGTGTTGTGGTCTCAACCCTAAGACCGAATGACAGTATATGTATGTTTTTGTATCCACAAGATTTTATAGGTATTCTATAAAATTATGTTGGAGACGATTTCTAAGTGAGCCGTTTTAACCATATTTGATTTTTGACGAGTTCGCCTGTCGTGGCGTTCTTAGGCGCCGGTTTGATTGACGGTAAGGTTTGTCACCCTAGACTGGCCTAGTCTAGCTGTAGCGAACAGCTCAGGTGTGGGGAGTCACCCCGTATAGATCTATACACAAACTCTCGCTCTCCCTCCAGAAGACTCTGGTTATAACTACAGGCTACGATCATACACTCTAGAGGTGTCAACCGACAAGTCTCACTAGATCATTCATTGTTTTCCACGAGTATTGAATTATGTTATGTATAATGTTTTTGTATATGTAGCTAAGATTTGCAAAGCCCAAAAAATAGGTATATGAATGTATAAGGCCCAACAGACATGTAAGGGAGCAGCTATGGCCCACTAAGCATGTGATGTATAGACTGGGCTCAATAAGCATGTTAATGGGTCACAAAGGCCCAAATTTACATGTAATAAACATATTAGGCCCAACAAACATGTAAATGGGCCACAAAGGCCCAAATAGACATGTAATGAATATATTAGGCCCAATATCAAGAAATTAACATTTATGGTCCAAATATATATAAGAGAATATTTTTGGCCCATTTTTATGGAAATTGACATTTTTGGCCCAAAATATATAAAATATTATTTTTGGTTCATTATTGTCAAGATTTACATTTTCAGTCCATTTTTAAATAAAATGACACTTTTCGACTCAAGTTTTATAAAAATGACGTTTTCGGCCCATGATTATAAAAAATTACATTTTTATCTCACTTTTCATAGAAATTACGTTTTTGGCCCAAGTTTTGGAAAAAATTCATTTTTAACCCATGAAACAGTAGGTTTACATTTTTGACTCAAACTTGAGTTAAATGACAATTTACTCCATAAAAATCGAGGTTTTTACAATTTAGGCCCAATAAAACCGAAAAGCCCATTTTTATGGCCCAATATACAAGAAGTTGCATTTTTGGCCCTTTTAATCCCAAGAATATGAAAAAAACACATTTTTGTATAAAAGTGACTCTTTTATTCCTTGTAAAGCCATAAATGCTAAGAAAGTCTCATCTTTTTGGTTATTTGTCAAAAATGGCCCTTTTTCAAGATTTTGTTTAGTTTCTTATGAATCTTCACATGTTTAACACATTTATCCTTATAGTAAGTTGTATAAAGTGTTGTAGTTCCCAAATATTGTCTAGATCTATGAAGTTCTTTACACAATCACAACATACACTTAGAAAACACACATAAACATGCACAAATACATAGATCTAACACATAGCAACTTGTATTCTCCCCCAAAAACAAAGTAAAACTGAAATCAATGAGGTATGAACTCACCTTGAGGTTTGGATTCGGTTTTGATGAAGAATGAAGTGAAGATCTCGGCCCTAACAAGCTCATTGAAGGATTTTCGAACTCTATGAAGTAAAGATGTATAAATCATGAAATGTTATGGTTTAAGAAGAGATTTTTGAAGAAATCATGAAGCTAAACCATATATCCAAGTGAGAACTTATCAAAGATGATGATCTTGGTGAAAAATCTCTTGAGAATACCCACAAATCTCAAAAATTTAGAGGAAGAAGGAGGAGTTCTTTTGAGAGAGTTTTGAAGGTGTTTGAAAGAAAATGGGATAGTGAGGGAGGAG